CATAGTGCTTATTTCCCAACCCCACTGCAGCAGCTAAACCACACCTGACGCCGTTCACCCTCAACTTCACCATCCTGAACCTGCAGTATGAGGAGGTCATGCGTCACCCTGGCTCCTGGAAGTTCAACACCACGGAGAGGGTCCTGCAGGGTCTGGTGAGAGCCCCGCCCATGTCACTCTGCCCTGGCCACCTCACCTATGTCAAGGCCATGGAAGAGGATGCCACCCACCTCACCCTTGCCCCAAGAGATGAAAGCACCACCCCCTGCACTTCTTCCCCACCCCTACTCACCTCTCTCTCTGTCCTCCACAGCTTGGGCCCTTGTTCAAGAACACAAGTGTTGGCCCTCTGTACTCCAGCTGCAGATTGACCTTGCTGAGGTGAGACCTTAAAATAACCAACAGCGATTTCCAAAATGCTCCCAGGCCTGAAGACTATGGTCTGCTTCCTTCCTGACATCTCTGTGCATGTCCTCAGCAGAGGTGGAATTAGGGAGCACTGGCTCCAGGACCAAGATGTTCTCTGATCCTACCACCATCCCCATAAACTGAGATGCTGCAGGGATCATCAGGAGAATTGAGCCCCGATCCTGGTCATCCCTCTGAATTCCCTCATTCCTTTTTGCTTTTAAACAAAAAGAGCACTTAGTTTAGGTTTTAACTTCTGCGTTTAGTATTTCTCACCACACAAATGTGCCTCCTCCCATTGCTTTTATCCCCAATTCCAGCTCTTCACATGCCTCAAATCTGAGTTCCCCTGTCCCCCATGCCATCGGAATACAGGTGTCACCTTGCAGTTTTATAAAAATTCTTGTATCCATGACCTGTCCTCAAGTCCGAGACTGGCTGTGAGTCAATACACTCAAAGAATCTAAGGATTGCTTCTCATTTCTCTACTAACTTTCTCATTTCCTCTGGCCCTTTCCTTTTCAAACCCCAGGGGTCTCAGTACTCCCCCCTCTGCCCCTGCCCAGGCAATCCACCCATTGTGATCCCTATACACTGCCCTCTACAGGCCAGAGAAGGATCGGACAGCCACTGGAGTGGACGCCATCTGCACTCACCACCCTGACCCCCTGGGCCCTGGGCTGGACAGAGAGCGGCTGTACTGGGAGCTGAGCCAGCTGACCCACGGCATCACTGAGCTGGGCCCCTACACCCTGGACAGGGACAGTCTCTATGTCAATGGTGAGGAGCTGTGATTTGGTTGGATTCTCTCCCTCCTCGCTGGGCTGCCTCTGCTCTCTGCCCTGATGTGATGTTCCCTGTATGGACAATGAGGGCTTAGCCATGTTGTCTACATGTGATGATTGGGTTTCCTGGTTTCTTCTTTATCTTGGACTGCATTCATCCTTGAGACCTTCTTCTCAGATGTAAGGGTGTCGACATAGACTCTCCAACAGCCCTTGCTGCATGAACCTCTTTCCATTGCACCAGGGTAGCCCTCACCCCTATTTCTCCCCTTCCCAGGTCTCCCTTAACCCTTACCCACTATCCTCCCTCCCTCTTCCTGCAGGTTTCACTCACAGAAGCTCTCTGCACATCACCAGCAGTGAGTATTCAACTGATGTTCCCACATCCTCAATCCTACACCAAGCAAGGCAGGAGCTGAGCCCTCCTCATATGCCTGTATGTCCTCTTCATGAGGGACAGAGCTGGGAGGGCACACGTTATTCCCTTTCCCCTCTGTCTCAGGTCCACACTGTTTTAGCTCAAGCCCCCCATGCAGCAAGCCCCATAAATAGTCTCTCCTGCTGGCGATTCTGCCATGAGAATACTTAATGATTTCACTGATGTGGGCTTCTCCTCAGCTCCTGGGACATCCACAGTGAACCAGGGAACCTCTGGGACTCCACCCTCCCTCCCTGGCCCCACAGGTGAGTACCAGTCAGTGGCACCTCTGTTAAAGCAAGCCCCATGAGGGTAAATATCTCTGCCATTTTCACTCAAATAAAGATGGAAAGCCATGGAAAATCTAGAGATGAGAACTCAACCAACAAATTTCATTGAGCACCTACCCTGTGCCAGGGATTACAGCAGGGAAGACAAAACAGATAAAAATCTCTGGCCCCAAAGAGCTTATATTCTCATCATGATGATGGGTGTGGTGGTAATGATGATGATGATGGGTGTGGTGGTCAAAATAACTGTGATGATGGTGATGGTGATAACAGAGTTCACAGGTAACATCTGACATCACTGAGCACTGAGTATGCACCAAGTGCTATGCTCAGCATGTAACTTCTATTATTTTATATGCTTTTTAAAAAACTTCATCATTATAGGCAACGAAGGCACGGAAACCTTTTCTTCACTCACTTTTAATCCATTTGCATGTATTTAAAATTAAGTCTAGTGCAAACTCACATTTTCTGTTCTTTTGAACATAGTGTTGATTTTCCATCTTCACCGTAGATGCTGGATCTCTCCTGGTGCCATTCACCCTCAACTTCACCATCCTGAACCTGCAGTATGAGGAGGTCATGCGACACCCGGGCTCCTGGAAGTTCAACACCACGGAGAAGGTCCTGCAGGGATTGGTGAGGACCCTGCTCACCTAACTCTGTCCCTCCCAACTCACCCATTCCAGCTCCCCTCACTTAAATCAGAGCCATGGAAAAAGATCTCAGCCACCTTGTCTGCCCCGCCCATGGATCTAAGCCCCGCCCATCTCACCTTTGCCACGCCCATGGAAGAAGATCCCGCCCACCTCACCTCATTCCCTACAGATGCAAGCCCTGCCCACTGGGACCGGCCCCACCCACCTCACATCTGGCCCGTCCCTATCTCCTCACTTCTTACCTCCCTCTTCCTTCTCCACAGCTCAGGCCCTTGTTCAACAACACCAGTGTCAGCCCTCTGTACTCTGGCTGCAGACTGACCTCGCTCAGGTGAGACCTTAGAAAAGCCAGCCAGGGCTACCCCAAGAGTCTCCAGGTCCAAGGACTTTGGTCGGTCTTATTCACACCCTCACTGTGGACGTCCTCAGTAGAGGTGGAGTTCAGGAAGCACTGGCTCCAGGACCAAGATGTCTCCTGATCCTACCACCTCCCTCGTCCACTGAGAGATTCTGCAGAGACCAACAGCAGGACTGAGCTCCAACCCTGGTCATCCTTCTGAATAACCTTCTTCCCATTTCACTTTGAACAAGAAGAGCAATTTTTTCAGATTTTAAATTCCGTCCTTACAATTTCTCTCAAGATAAATGTGCCTCTTAATTGCTTTAATCTCTAATTCCAGCTCTTCACCTGTCCCAAGTATGAGCTCTCCACTCTCCATGCTATGAAAATTCAGGTTTCACCTTGTGATTCTCTAAAAGTTCTTCTACCCATGACTCTGCTCATGGTCTCAGGCTGGCTTGGAGTCCGTG